TGGAAACTGCAATTAAAGCAACCGCCTCGGGGAAGCAGACAGAATTAGAAATTGAATCTGGAGTCCTGGTCTGCTGATTCGCCCACGGGCTCACCTTTCAAACTTGGGAGCGGGCAACTTAAAACAGTCAAAGGGCACCTTTTACCTGCAGCCTGAGAGACACGCCCCCCCAGACTCCAGCAATAGCTCCAGCCTAATCAAACAAGCACAAAAGAGCAAACGCTGCTTGCAAAACAAAGCGCATACCTCACTGGTCACTGGAGTGCTACAAGCTGGAATCAATGCGATGATTGTGACAGCTGAGAACAAATTCAGCTATGTTTGACAACTTCCAGAAAATATTGGCAGAGGACAGGGAGTCTGCACTGCCCAGCAGCACCTTTGTGAATTGATTAGCCATATAGCAGATGGCAAGCCTGCTGCAGACTGAGACAGCAGAAGATGGCCAGTCTGGTTGAGAAGAACTTGAAGACGACTGGGAAGAAAAAGCATGTCCTTACAGTGACAGCCCAAAATGATATTTCAGAAATGTCACATGCATGGCAGATGAGGAACAGGACTGAGTTTTAACATTTCCTTTAGCTATTTATTACAAGCACCTGTCTGGTTCATAAAGTAAAATTATATAGCGTAGTTTAAATCTTTCACTTTCAACCCCTTCCTTCACAAAAAAGCCTTAAAGAAAACATTTTTAAAAATCTTTTTTTTTTCTTTTAAAATATTCTTCTAAAAAGGAATTATTTAAGTCATTTCCAAGTCAGTTGATATGTTTAAGAGAACTTCTACACTTTCTCTGAAAGCAGGCATGCCTTGAAAGTTTGATTTTAGGAAAACATATTCTGGACAAAGAGCAAAGGCTTTGCCCCCCTCCTCCTGCCACATATTTTTGGGAGGGGTTTGGCACATGTTTGGGGAAAATTCATATTTTGTAATGGTTTTAGGAAATGCCTTAGGCTATTCAGAGTCTGCACAGCTGCTCATCAGTAGCCAGCCATGGCTGAAGGAGCAGAAACTATGGTTCAGAGAAATATGCCATCTTTGTCTGGTGCAGAACAATGCCGCTGCAGTGAAATACAATGGCAGTCTCTTATTTTCTACTAGCCCTTAAAAAGAAAAAAAAAAAAAGACGGGGGGAGATGTGGGGGGGGGGAGAAAAGGGAAGGATCACGGAGTTTCCTTGCAGGGCCTCTGAACTGAGGGAGTGAACATCAGCTCTGTGCTCACAGATATGCAAATCCTTCTCGAGGCCCAACAATAGCAGAAGCCCTGTGGGAGGAGGAGACCGATAGCACAGACCAGGCACTGCTGCTCCCACCTCCTAAGCCTGCAAAGCCCACAGGTTCCCGGCCCTTCCCGAAAACTGGAAGGCCAAAGCATGATCCAAGAAGAGAACTGTAAAAGCTGTGGTATCAGTTGACCCGCACTGCCCACGGAGCTGTACTCTGGACATTTTAAAGCTTACAGTTGGACTGCTGATCAGTTCATGGGTGCAACTGCCCAAAAGATTGATGAGCCCATGGTTCAGTGTCTCAGTATTGCCCCTTTGGTTAGTAAGGCTCACACAGAAAAAGCTGGAACTAAAAGAAAAAAGGACTTTCTGCGGTGAGACCCCAATAAACAATATTTGCACCTACATACTCCAAGCAAACTTCCCAAAGGGGCAGGATGCATTAGGGTTTTGTTTTTAATGTAACTACAATTACCAGGATTTAATGAAGTGCCTGACTTGCAGCTGTCACTGATATCTGAATTTTTTAAGCAAAGACTGAGGGAGGACAAGTAACAGATTGGAAACTACCTGCACTGAGCTACTGCAACAGAAATAGCTCAAATGACTGTGAGTTTTGATGGTTTTACCAGTGCTGACAGCAATCTGTAGAAGTTGGAAAAACAAAAACATTCACTGATACAGACTTATCCCCTTTTAGAAAAAAAGTATTTTGCACTATAGCTTCTTACCCTAAATATTTGCTCTTTTACATCAGATCTATTACGTAAAACTGCATGCAGACTGAGCTGGGACATTCACCTTGCATTCAGAAGGGGGTTTTCCTCAGTCCCATCAAACTATGATCACAGCAGCTCTCCATCTTTAAGTTTAATTTCCTTCACGTATCTCCTCAGAACAGCTGACTTAAGCCAGTGATTACACTGGATGCCCAAAACATCATCTGTCCATGTAAGAAGTAATCTTCAGGTCTCTCCAAGGCATCATCACTTGAAGCCAAAGAGGGGTACAACATGTTATTGCACAGCACGTGAAGCAAAATGTGCAGCCAGCGCTCTTTCCCCCTGAGGAGAGTCAGAAAACGTTCATGGGCTGGCACCTTTCAGGCTGCCGGGGAAGAGTTTGGAGGCAGCAGGACCGAGAGCCCTCATGCCCTTACATTACTGGACCCCAGCCGCGATGTTAAGGATTCAGAGGTAGCTGAAACATGTGGTGCAGAGCAACAAAAGTATTAAATGCCCCAAGCAGTTTTGTTCACCGTACAAAATTAAATGTGAAGCTGAATACTAAAAATACAACCAAATTCCACCCCCACCCCTCCCCTCAATCTTAAGTTTCTCTCAAATAAGGAAGTGCTTAATGGCAGAGGTCCTCAACAGAAGTGTGTTATTTCAATACGCAGTACACTTTGATATTTGACATTAATATGAAACAAGAGACTGAAGCTGGCAGAAAATACCTGCGACTAGTTTAGGAATTTGTCCACTATTTCATCAGTGACAGTTTTCAACACTCACACTTGAAACATCTCTCCCTTATTAAAAAATAAGTCTGTAATAGCTTGAGCAGATTTGTTGTTCGGTTCTGCACACGATGCACACAGAACAGGCTGTGATAGCATGCAGATCACTGCTGTACTTTGACACAGCTACTTTCGTCTTGAAAGTAACAGAGAAAGTAACTTATATTCCTCAATAATGCCATTATCATTTCCATGAACATTAGGAGGTCCAGCAAAAAAATGGTTGGTGGCAAATGAAAGGCTCCTCATCAAGACAGACAGAAAGGGTGCTCCAGATGTGAATCAAGTGCAGAATAGTATCTGATCTGTGCATCTTACTCACGTAAGCTTTTATTCATTTAGACACACTTTAAAACTCCGTAAGAATATTTGCAATAATTAACATGTAAAAACTCTTGTCAAATCAAAGAAAAACCTTCATATTTTCATGTAATACATTTCTCGGACATTAGATGGCAATCCCCCCACTTCATTTTTCGTACAAGGGGCTCATATCCCTTCCAAAAATCAAATGTCACCATCTTTTCAACAGGTGAGGGGTCTGTTTGGCTTGTAGGAAGCAAGGCTGTTCAGAAAGCACAGAGGCTCTCACATTCCCATGGCATTCATTCCGTTGCAGCAGTTCTCCAGTTTTCTTTGAGTAGGAAAGGCAGACGAGTAATACCATCACGGAAGATCCTTGTCCTAGGGGCAAGATTCTCTCACTTGTCACTTGAACACCCTATACCACAACTTGGATGTTTCCATGTCAAAAACCTATAGGCAGAAATAGGCGGTTACAAAATTTCCCCATTTTGACAGCGGAGAAAGGGACTTAGTATGGCATTTAACAATCTAATTTCTAGTCTTGCCAATTAAAGAGGGTCCTCTCAAGGGATATCATTAGTTTGTGTAAATCTTTTCTGGGAATTATAAAACTCAATTGAAAAAAAAAAATGAAAAGAGGTTATTTGGTACAGTATGTGGAATACACACAACGGGAAGCACCTACCAACTCTTATAGTGGGAATTCTATAGGTAGGAGAAAAAATAAGACATGGCATTTAAACAACAGCTGAAATAAATTCAACAGAGTATGTAACACACCTGATCAAGTTAATGTACCTTGGCCTTCAGCCTCACTTTTTATCGTGGTTTACGTGTGATGTTTTAGAAAGAGGCAGGAATAATACACCTTGTCAACCGTTCTGTGAGGTACATGGTGGGGGGAATCCTTCCTGACCTTCATTAACTCCCTATGATCTATTTAAGTGGCAGTACAAGACATCCTGACATCTATTCATTTCAACAGTGCGTGCCTGTGATTCATTCACTCAAAATTCACTTCCTAAGCCTTCATTTCTCATCTACTTTCATCACCTATGAAATGTTCCTTTCAAGCCAAGTTCACCCCTTTTCATACATCCCCCTTGGAACCAAATTTCGCCCTTGCAATACTTGTCCATTTGAGCTCTTGTGCAAATTCACAGTGTACATTAGAGTGAGGTTTGCAGCTCTCCAGCATTCCAAAAGCACAGATAATATTAGTCCTAAAGATAGGGGTCCACCCACAGCTGGCTTCTGAAATAGCCAATTTTTCATGTACTCCACTGAAAATCTAACCTTTTATGCTCACTTCTGAGCTGGTTGTGTATGTGTGTGTCAAGGTGACAACACCATGAAAACAGAAGTTCTCAAATGGTACATTATCTCGAATATCAAAAGGTCACAAAAGGGTACAAATCGGTAGCTCTCCAGAAGAGACACTGGTTTTTATGAAAAGTGGGTCAGTTTTAGTTTCATGTAGGTTGTTTGACACAGTGGTTTCTGGCATCACAAGCTCTGGTCTACAGGATACCACAGAGCCTTTGTATCCCTTGCTGTCACTACAGCATTGTGTTTTTCTACCCATTAACCAAGGATAAATGACCTAGATATTGTGCCTATTAAAGCCTCATTTTTCTTTTGCCCTTTTGTTCTTTAGTATACCACATTATCACATGCTGAACACATTTAAAGTATTCTCAGTCTCTCATGCCCCTTTGAAGGAGTAAAGTAGGGATTTTAGCGTGCATTTCTGTAGAGTTACTTAGAGTGGAAAATATGAAGGCAATTCAAGGTTTCTCTTCCTGCCTAGTCCCCTGAAGACGATCAGTTTAGCATTTACAGCCACTAATCTATAAAGAATATAGCAGGAAAATGCTATAAAAAAGCCACAAATGCAAATACAGAAAGTGAACACCAGTTTTGATGTCCCTAAACACTACATTCTATAATTACATCTCTGCATATCATGGGTCACTTTTATTAAAAGTATCATTACTACAGTTGGCAGCAATTTACATCTTATCTTACATGATAGCAGTTTCCAAAGAAAAAAAATAAAAAGACATCACAACAAAGAAAAACAATACATTTACAAAGTCATGTCTGTAAACTTCAAGGCTAGTTTAGAGTTGAGGTAATGCTGTTTAGCTTTGTGGCTAAAGTAACAAAGTCCTTTAATTTAAAAAAGGTACCTGATTTTTTTCTTTTTGTTTATACCAGTGCATTACAAGATCACGAGACGATTAAACTGTAGCTTTATCCTGTAAGAACCTTCTCCGTGGGTTAATTTCCAAAAGGTACTCTTCACATTCAACAGCTGCCTTATTATTGCTGCGTCTCAAGACAGAGACATTCACACTATCATGAAGATTGTCAGAGAGAGAGTGTGTGTGTGGGTGTGTGCGCGCATGTGAGCGGGTGAACTCCCATACAGTCAAAATGAAGCGCGAGTACGATATGTATGGTAAATTTCATCTTGACCTTCACAGCAAAAAAAAAAATAAATTTAAATATATAACTTCATCCTTCCTTTAAGCAGCACTTCCTTCTATTAGTGCCACTTGATTAAAAATTGCTGCTTAATTCATAATACCAATGGTACCAAAAGAAAAAAAAAGCAGAGCATTATGTCAATTTCCTTAAAAAGACATGATCACCTCTCAAATTTCATCTCTCCTAGGGATAATAAATAATGCACTGCACAATACTTAATGACCAAGATACCTTTTGACACATCTGTATAACATGACTTGAACTTTTTTTTGCTACACTATGTTACAGAACAGCTTATAAAAACTAAGTATGGACATTAACTGTGAGTGTAAACAGTAGGACTACCACTTGTCAAAAGTTTAAAACACTTTAACTGTAACTGGTACTGGTTATTCATCGTTTTCATTGTTTTCTATTTCTTCCCCCCCATCAAGTGAGTCTAATTCTTCACCCTGTGCTATTTCATCTTCTAAAACGGAGGAATCTGCAGTTTTATCAAGGCTCTCCTCTGCATCACTGCCTTCGAGATTTTCTTCATCTTTAAAGGCAGCTCCTTCAGTTTTGTCAGTAGCCTTCTCTTCATTGGAGCCCACTGCATTCTGAAGTCCTGCTAGTGCTGGGAAACCGGGCAGAGTCAATCCTCCCAGTCCTGGAGGTAGAAACATAGATGGATAGAAGAGGCCAGGAGCCATGGTAGACAGCAGGAAAGGATTGAAGGCCAGAGGGTTTGTGGGCAATCCAGTGTTGGTGGTGGTAGTAGTGGTGGCAGTGGCGGTAGTTGCCGCAGCAGCAGCACTGACAGATCCATTCGCAGAGTCAGTAGCAGAAACAGTGTCTGTGCTTTTCTCAGAGTCTTTGTTCTCCTCTTCATTCTCATTTTTCTTCTCTTCAGCTTTTGAAGCACCATCCTCAGTCTCTCCTTGACCGGAAGCAGTAGTGGCATTTCCAGTAGTAGCTGTTATGGGGTTATTCAACAATCCGCTTAGTCCAAACATATTGGGCAATCCTGCCATCCCTGGCAACATCAGAGGCAACATGGCAGCCGGATTTTTAGTGTCCCCCCCAGCAGCAGCAGCTGTTGCTAGCCCTGGTGGAAAGCCCATGAGGCCTGCGAGCTGGAGAGACTGCAGGTTCTGTAGGTTCTGGAGGCTTGTGAGGTCCATTCCAGCAAACAGACTGTTCATTAGTAGTGGGTTGATTCCCGAAGTTGATGCTACAGCAGCAGCTGCTGCAGCTGCTTTGGCAATTTCACTTTTTGGCCTTCTTCCTCTTCTGCTTGCTCCTTCCTCCCTCACAACAGGTCCAGTGAGAAGACGGTCAAACATGGACTCTGGAACAAAACCCTGAGAGGGGGAGGCAAAAAGCAGGCTTTATTCTCATTTAGCTTTTATAGCTTTCAACAGTTAACTGATGACGATGGAAGAAACAGAAGGGATTTCAGTGTACTCCAAAAGTGGTTTGTTTTTTCACCCCGGCAAATGGTGACTAGCTAGCTACCAAAGTGAATGGCAGCAGAACATGTAAGGAAAGTTGAAGAAAGCAAGATCACAGATTTTTTTTTACACTTAAGCACAACAGAAAAACAATACATGCTGAAACTCTGTAGCTTCATTAAAAAAAACAACCTGATATGCTGCAGTTATGAAAATTCATATCTTTGTAATTCATACTGAATTTCAGTTAGTAATATTCTATTAAATTGAGTACTAGCAGATTTTACCCTTTATTTTCAAACTCATGTTGTAAAATAAAAGGCAGAAAACCTATTCCTTTGATGCTGCCTGTTATCAAGACAATGACATGTATTTCTGTCATGAATATGCAAAAATTTTCTTAATAGTTCCTAATTACAAATACCTGTATTTATTAAGGGTTGTTGTTTATAAAAAAAAAAAAAGAAAAACAGATGCTGAAGTCTACCTTAACTGTAGCTGATTTTTCAGGTATATTTCAACCCCATTCTCCAGCAGCCTCCTATCACCATCCCCCCTGAGCTGGGTAACTCCTACACAGACACTACAATTTTCTCAAAACCAACTATGAGATAAAGACTTAATGATCAATTTGAAAAACCTTCAACTTTTCTGTGCTATAATCTACGGTGAAGCATGGAATGAGAGTTTCACTTACAGACTGTTTAACAATGTCAGTCCAATCTGGAGCAACAGCAAATTCAGGATTTTCTTCCAGCCATCTTGGCAAGTCCTTCATTGGAGGGGCCATAGCTCCACCCATCTAATGGAAGAGACAAGGTTAATACTTTAACAAAAATTCAACAACAAAACTATATGGACATTTTCTATCTGTGCACTTTCATCTCTGAGGGATAGCAGAGAAGACTTTCAGTTCAGACTGTGGAAAACTACATGGATACCTGAATTGACAAAATTATGTTTTAAAAAAACAGTCAAGTGTTGCAGCTTAGGTAGGTCTGGTAATAAAATCTGAATCTGATGTAAGGAAAAAATGTGCTATATAGGTTCAAAAAGTATGAACTATTCACTCAAGTGACTAATATGAACATATCAGAAGAGCAAAGAAAGAATTAAAGGAACCAGGTGGCACAGCCCGGTATGAGTAACTGCCAGTGCCAAATTATTAAACTTTCTCTTTAAAAGTTTGGAGTAGAAAGCCTGCTTTCCACATGAAAAGACATTATTAAAGACCTTAACTGAACTAACTTAATTTTTACCTTCTTTCCATTTCGTTTATTTACAACAGGTACCCTTTCCTCTCCTGTCAAGGTGTTTATATCCAGTTTATTAGGGTTTCGACATCTGTGTCGTTTTTGTTTCGGCTTCTGAAATGGGGAAAACAGCACATCTGCACTCTTCTGGAAAGAAGAGAAATGTATTGCTTTTTAGTTTTTCATTTTCTTGCAAAAATCACCAATCACAGCACCCCTTTTCACAACAATTTTAAGAAGGGGTCAATTACTTTACTCTCAGATTATGTCAGAAGAAAATTTTCTTGTATCAGATGAAGAAATTCTACAGAACTTGACAAACACTGTTCTAACATGTTGTTAGACACAAATATTAAGAAAGAAAAAGCAACTCAAACACCCTAATGCCACTTGGGTGTTTAGATACATTAGCAAGGGTGGCTAAAGAGAAAACCTCCACTGAAAACCAAGTTACGAAATTGAATGACTATGTCCAGTGTGAGGAAATTCATTCTGACATCTGTAAAACCAACTTTTCCATTAATACTATAGAACAACGCTTTTAGAATCACATACTTACTGGTACATAACTTGGCATATCTACAGTGTAAGTAGGATGCAATTTAAGCCATTCAACTAAATCCTTGTTTTTCGGAGCATCCTCTCCCACCAGCCTGGTCCCATCCTCTAGATTGATTACAGGGATGCGAGTGTCTGGGTCTAATTGACCAGGAGATGGAATGTTCCTTGCTGGTAGGGCTTCTATATCTTCTTCAAAAGCTTTGGTCACTTCTGCATCCTCCTGAAAACAATAACATCTGTATTAATTCTCACTTCAAGGGAACAGTTGAAGAAATAATTTCAGGGACTGACCGAAGAGAAATGTTCAAGATTTTGCATACACAAGAGTTAATGGGGTTTAAATATTCATACTATGTAAAGCAATATCGTTGCATTAGAGAATTTTGTAAATTTAGCATCCTTGAACAATAAAGAATATACAGCTAAAGACAAAGCAATTTTTGTGTCTTTCTAGTAAATGTCCTTCAAGACCCTCCCCTCCCTTTTCAATACAGCAAGGATGACATACTGAAGCCTCAAAATGTATGTTGTTGAAATATATTATGTTAAAAAAAAAAAGAAAGTAATTTTGAAAGTAGGAGCTACTCAAAACTCAGCTACAGTTTGCTAGAGTAAAATCTTGATGTGAACATTTTGTTTGGTTCAAACAGTAGTAACAGCTCTAAACAAAGAAAAATGTGGTTGGGCAAAAACTGTATGTTACTATCAGGGAGAGTATAACAAGACTTTAAACACATTCAGGAAGTACCAGAGACAGAAGAACAAATATGAGACAAAAAGAAAAAAGGTTGTGGTCTTACTACAGTCAACGATGTCCGTTTGTTGCTCATAAACAACAGATCAAGCCCTTCTACATTTTTCCTCCTTCCTCTCCTCCTTTTCATGGGCGGTTCTCCATCTATTAAAGAGCCATTTAGTAGATGCCTTGTGGGTGTGCGTGAAAGACCTGCTTGCAGCAGCTCCATTTGAGTTTTAAAGGCATCAGACATGGGTGTGGAGACATTAGGCAAGATAAACTTTGAAGTAACAGACGAAAAACTTGAGGTAGAACTTGTTGCCTCTCGTGAGGCCTTTGATAAATCTACAACCTTTTCTTGTCCGTTTTCTGAGACCACCTGAGACTCACGTAACTGGGCAACCATTTCCATAAGATTTCTCCTCTTGGCAGCTCTCTCAGCCTCAATTTCAATCTTTCTTCGTCTCCTCCTCCTCTGACGTGGAACTGATAAATTGAGTGCATCTTCCTAATGAAAAATGAGCATTTCAAAGCATTAGCAAAGCTCTGTTTGCTATGCTCAATTTAAAATAAAACTCCAAACATATAACTCTGAAAACAAAGCCTTCATTTTATTCAAAGAAACACTTTTACGTTTTTCCTATTTTATTTAAAGACATGCTATTTTTTTCTATTATGCAGAAGAAGCATATGCAAGATAAAATGTTTTATGTAAAAAAGAGAAAGATGCAGGCTTGCCTTTGATAACTGAGGAGAAGCAGTGATATCTTCACTGCCACTGACGCTGGCTTGACCAACCATGGAGAGCTCTGCAAAGCTCCTTTTTTGTAGAGGGCTGTCCACAGCTGTTGGAGTATACCCAGGTATGAGCCCCTGGAAATCAAACATCTGGCGCCTATTTACTGGCCACTTCCCTTTCAGCACTGCTTCACAGATGTTGTCTAATCGGTTGATCATTACTCGGTCCTGCATAAAGGAAAAGTATGTAATGAACCTTCAATGCAGAAGTCGCCTTTTAAACTCAAATGAGTATTATGATGCAATCCAGTTTCCGGAGCTTAAGAAATACATTCAAAAACAACTATACTTGCATATTAGGATAAACCGATCACCTTACAAGAAGATAACACACAATTTTATAGAATAAAACACCACTAGGACTTAAAAGTTGCGTTCATATTGGGGGGAGCCACAACTAAAAACAGACCAAGTTTTCTGTGTGACAATGTACTAATTGAAAAATTTAACAGAAACTCACTGTTGTTTTACACTGCAAACCTTCAGCAGTTAGCAAAATCAACAGTTAGGAGGGGAAAATCAAAACATCTGCAATCAGTATCTTAAAGCTGCAGTTCTTGAGATCCAAGAGGCTGGATCTGAAATTCTGTCCTAGGAAGTGGATCCTCATTAGCGTCACTATTAATAAAGTTCAACATTATGAAACGGGCACCAACCTAGGGACATCTAATGAATGTCAATTTTCATTCCACGCCCATTATCACTTCAAATTTCACTGAAGCGTGTACACTAAAAATCTCTAATTATGTTTATTAGTCTACTTATGCTGAACCTATACAGATGAAGCATTTTCTGTTCTACTTTCACACTATGACTGGAATAAGATTTTAGCCCACGTTTTCAAAATACTTCCTGAAAGCAGAGGAGTATTATTTGATTTTCTCCATTTCAGTATTCAAGCACATACTATGTGCCTGAAGTAGCAGAAACTTCCGAACTACGAGAAATACTGCTGGTTAGGGAATATGAGCATCAGTTAGCTTCCTGAGCAGCAAAACAGTGCAAAAGCCACTAGCAAATCTCAGCAGCTGCAACAGACTGCTTGCTTTCCCCAGAAATAAGCCTATTAAGAGCAAGGTCCTCCCGCCATGCTCCCCCTTCCCCCCCACCCCAAACCAGATGGCCCTGTTATGGTGATTAGTAAGCTTAAGACTATTACTACTTTATTTTTCTCTCTCCCCTTACTGCAAAGGAGAGTACTAAATTAAGTACGGATTTATTACAAGGTTACAGTTTCGCATTTTTAAAAACATTTTATACTAGATAATTTTCTGCATTGTTACCAAAATAAGGTACAGCTTTATCCTATCTAAAACTGTAGCTTATGTTTGCAGGATACCTTAATACAATTACATCTGTCAACATTACATAATGACTTAGATCATGTAGGTCACTAAAACTCTTCTCTACAACCTCCTCACCCCACAATAAAGTGATGATCTTAGAAAGTCTCATTTCTCAACGCTGCAGATGGCTCTGGAGACAAAATTCATAATTCAAAATTGTATAGTGGTGCAAGAGGTGGGATGCTGCTGACATAGTTATGGACCCTATGAAGAACTCATGTCTGCCATGTGTTTTGCTTGAATAAATGACACTATTTTCAACAAAGCGATTTCTTTCATTTCCACTGCTAATTTGTATGAAATAGAGGCAAAAAGTGCTATTCCACAATCACTCACAGAAAATAGTTCTTGCCTGTTAAAAGTATCATACAAAGCTTGCTGTTATATTGAAAAAGACATATCTTTCTACCCCTAACAAACCTTAGGCCAGAAAGAGAAGGCAAATGTTCTCTCATGAAGCAGCTGAACCACAGAGGGATCCCCATCTTCCATGTAGAATCCATCGCGTGTTTCATCCCTTGCAGTACTCATGGAGGCATTGCTTTCTTCATCAAAATTCTTACCCTGAGAAACTGCTCCTGCTGAATAACAACCATGACCAGGCATTAACATCCAGTGTCAACCTAACTAGACAGGCTAATGCAACCAGGCTGGACACAACATTTCTAACTTGGGCTTTTGTTCAGTAATTACTACAGCAGAGCCTTAGCCTTCTGCATTTGGCACAGAGACCATGCTTACTGGCTCAGCAAGCTCTCTTGAAAATTATCACTTGTGGGGGAATACCCTGCTGATGCTGGATGGTTCCTGTGAAAGCTTATCTAGCCACCTGATATATGGAAGGGCAGAGGAACTGCTACATACAGCCCATCCTGCACTCCATAATGGCACCATGTGTGCCACTTACCAGGTGGCTATAACAACTGTGGGACTCATAGTTAAACACACAGAACTCATCTGACCTATGCATTACCTTCAGGTTGGGAGGATTCTTCTGATTTATCATCATCATCCAGTTTCTCCTCTTCATCTTCTTCTGAACCTTTCTCAGAAATAGATTTTGGATCTACATCTGTACTCATTTCTATGTCTTTCAATTCACATTTAACAGAGCCAGGCTCAGCCTCAGCATCACAGTCTGGTTTAGTGTCCTTATCTGCAATATCAGTCTCCTCTTTGATATCAGACTTTTCTTTGGCTGCTGGATTTTCAGACCCTTCAGCTTTAGACTCTGTTTGTTCCACAGTCTTTTCTTCTTGTACTGGGGTGGATGGGACAATAGGTGGTGTTTGACTGCAGCCAGCACCCAGAGGGTTTACAGAAGAGACAGTATTTGCATTGCCTGTCCCTCTGTTTTGAGCAAAGTTCTTGTGAGCCTCAAGAAAAGAGAGTTCAGGATCATTCAGAATGTGATAATCTGTCCTACTGACTCCATGTTTAGCAGCACCAATCAGTAAGTCTTTGTCATGTTTACCACATTCCCACCACTCTGGTAGGTCCAAACTTGGTTGGCAAAGTTTTAGCCTCTCCCCCAGCTGCGGGTGATGGAGAACCTGTTCACGGATTTTCCGCAACAGTTCTATGCGATATAAAGTTCTAGAAGCACGCTCTTCTGTGATTGGCTCGATCATTGTGGAAAGATCAGGTGGTTCTGCAATGACATCAATTTGTATTGTTTAACATGGATTAAACGTACACTTATATTAAAATTGCTACACCTGGGCAGGAAGTTTAAACAGTCCCACTGTCAATAGTCATGTTGATTTCCACAGGTAGTTAAAACTTACCATCATCTGGTTTGACTGGCATTCGGCACACTCGTCTACACATATTCACAAAGCCATTAAAATACTTTTCCAAGCTTTCATCGGACTTTTTATCAAGCCTGGCAAACGCTCGAAATTGATTCCACTCAAATTGATGTTTTACAGGATCAAAAATAATTCCAAAAGTAGACACCACACGATAAAAATCAGCTTCTTCTCTTCTTGTCCATCTAGTCAAGGAAGAAGCAAGAGAAGTGAGGTCACCAAATAAACAAGAATCCAAACATAGTTTAGATGCCCCAAACCCCCCTTAGTTTACTCTTTCAAAACAGAAGAGCATGACTGGTGACACACAAGCTCAAACAGCATTTAAAGAAAGATATCACTGAGAAACTCACTTTTGTCGTTTTTCAGTTATTATAGCTTCCCTTTCTGCTTCTAGTGCCCTCACTTCTTCTCGAGGCCTACGTCTCCTGCGGTCAGTCTTCATTAGTGCCTCTTGCCTCATTTGTTGCCTTTTATAGCTGCGCTGATAGGCAGTAATGAGGCGACGCAGACGGGTAGTCAGGGTTGAAGTGTTGGGCCAGTAGAGTTGGCCTAAGTCAGCATTGCTTTCACTGTGCTTGTCTAGAGAAGAGAGAAGTATTACCAACACTAACACATTCCAAAGTTTCTATGGCTATAACTGGATTCCCATTTTATCAGATAAGAACATGTGCCTCTAATAATGGTGCACAACAAATTAGAAACAGGATAGCCATTGGTAGGAGATAAAAAAATAGAATCAAATCATCCAACTCTAAGAACTCAGAAATGCTTGTGAAGCATGTAGAAATAACAATCAAGCATTATTATTCAATGTTGTGAATGCAAATATATTATGAACACTGCAGGTACTTAAATTAATGCATTGCATCTTTAAATACATTACTAAGAATATTATTCTCCCTCTGAGGAAACACCTATGCTTATCATTTCCCACTTTATTATTCTCACTTAAACTTGGCAGTTTTCCTCCATACTGAGGAAACAACGGATCTGTAACTTCCAAGATTATCTCAGCAAAACCATCAACGGCTGCATTATGAAACATCCGGTATTTATCATCACAGTTTCTACTTTGTAATTAAAAATCCAGAGAACTATAATGTGGGTTATTTAAAGACAGTAAATAATTGTTTTGTAAAACGTGAAGCACAAAGAAATTCGGCAGTAAAAAGTTTACTGTGGTACTGCCCCAAAACATCACCTATCCCCTCATAGTAATATAAACAGTCCACTTTTCACTAAACAATTCCTTTTTGCCTTCCTAATTTCTTTGCTACAGCCTTACTTGAGTGTATTTCTATGGACTCCTCTTTGTCTTCTGGAGGTGAGTTTGCAAATTCCTTGGGGAGAAGACAGAAGTTATTTTAGTTTTCAGTTTTGACCATATGTCATCATTTGAGAAGAAAAATATGTCATTTCTCAAGCAGAGCAGCAAACAATCTTTGTAAGGTGTGTTTATCTGGTAGCTCTCAAACTTAAGAACTGCACATTAAAATAAATATGGAGAATCAGTTATAATTATATATATTTGTAAATACAGAAAGTTGGAAGTTCTTACATCAATTTCATCCTTGAAAGGAGTTCTGGTTGGCTTATATTCTGGATCTTCATCCTCTCTGTCAAATTCACCCCTATAAAATATTTAGATGAAATATTTTCAAGAAGTATACTGTTTTTGAGGGGAGGCTAATTTTCTGGACAAAAGCAAAAAAGCTACAAATGCCACCAGTATGGTGTACCAAGCTACACATTTATATTTCATGCTCAACTGTGTAAACTATTCTATGTACTTTGTACATCATATGGTCACTTCATATCCTCAGGCAACATGTAAGTAAAATATGACATATGAACTCATGCCAACATATACAATGCTGATAAAGTTTATTAATTTTTTCATGTCCTCCTTACCCATCACCGCCATCTGCTAACATGTCTGTCCCTCTCTGTTCAGCAGCTATGGCCTTTGCATCAGGCATGCCAACCCGTTCCAGAAAGCACAGTGCTGGATCAGCTCTCATAGAATTGTACTTCTCATAACCTGCATGCAGAGTGGGAGACAAATGTTTTTTTAAAAGGTATGACCAACTGTGAGTAGAACAGGTTTAGGCACTAGAAGTACAACGTCCTGGATTCATTTATTTATTTTTAAAGAAAACAAAGGAGCTGTCACCATGCTGCAAACAATCACTTCATTCATGTAGAGAAATTGTTCATATTGGTAAATTCCATCAGCACAGAAACATTTTCCCATCAATAACATTAACGAATGGAAGATAGTGAAGAAAGCATTAAATTTAATGTTGTTATAAGGTTAAGCAAAAACCTTTCACAAGCGAAAAACTTGAAGTTTCCTATATGACTTTTGCAAGGAATCTCCACATTCAATACTTGCCTGCGGAAACACACAGATGTGAATGGAAACACACAAACACACATTTTCTATAGCTCCAGCCCTGCTGGAACCCTCAATATAGGCTGAAAAAATGCTGTATACATGGGTTATACGTAAGGCCAACGAACCTGTCTTATTAGGTTTAGGATGATGCATGTCAGTAAGATGACACTGTTCCCTCTATGGTTTTCAAACTGCTGTTTGCTTTTTTACTGCCCAAGTTGACTAGATGGAAAATGGCAGATCCCAACAGTGCACTGCAGGAAAATGATTTTTAGACTAGACTTGCCTCAGCTGAGCCCACAACACAGAGCTGCTGTACATAGGCAGAACAGCACAATTCAATTAGGATTTGTACTACAACACACTGCTCCTAACTGCTGTAGAGCCTCAAGCCAAACTGTAATCATGAAAGGTTTTATAAGCCATCATTCTCCCCTTTAGTCAGGCTGGGCTGCTGAGAATACCTCTGCGACCTCCAGAGAATTGGGATTATAATCAGGAATCGCTCACTGTATATATCATGCCAGCTCTGCATCCCCAGCCTTTCAAAGTTAACAAGGCTGCATCCCACTCAAGGGAGCCGGGAGTTCTCAACACTGACATTTGTGAAATATTGCTTGGAACAAAGCCCAGGAGGCACTTGTACAGATTAATAGCAGAGGTTAAGCCCACCGTCCACTTTGACACTGGTTGGCAGAGTTAGCAAGTGAAGCAGTGCTGGAAGCAAAGTTTATGGAGATCTATCTTACTATTTGGCCATTATTTAAACAAATATGGCTTTGTTTTATTTACAGCCAAGAAAGTAATGTTTTCTTCTCAAATGTTCTGCAAACATTTAAAAACAGCATCTGATATTTACAGCTCATATTAGGTTTTTAATGCAGGCAAGAAAAAAAGGGAGATACAAGCCAACAGTTCTTTGGAACAATACTTGTTAATATTATGACTGAACAGTCCTACACACTGAAAGCTTTACAACTGAGTTTTGTTCAGAGTGAGACATCACTTACCGTGTTTAAAAACTCCAATTAAAAGGGATTTATCTGCCTCCTTATCCCACCAGTCTGCAGGAACTTCGGCATGGAATGGCTCAGGTATCCACACATCTACCTCACTGTGAAGACAGCATTATATACTTTCTCAAAGGTATTACTGGACAAAGATTTTAAAACAAAACAAAATAAGACAAAAACAAACAAAAAAAAAAAGGAAAAAAAAAAAAAAAAAAAAACAAACCCAAAAAACCCAATGCAAAACAAAAAAAACCTCCCAAGTCTTAAATATTAACTTTGAGGGGGAAAAACACCCTGAAACCCAACACAGAAATTGAAATACCCCCAAAAATAATTAGGATGGTTAAACAAACAAACAAAAAACTAACCAACCAACCAAAAAACCCACAACAAAAAACCCCCAACATTAGGCTATTTTGGGAGTGGAATGGTTATCTAAATATGATTCATTTAAAGTCTTAGTATTTTTTCATTTTTTAAATTGTGATAGAATAATCCCTCAATATCAGCAGACCTGTAAATCCACTTCTGTCATTTCCCACATTGTTTCCTCCCCCAAGAAAATTGCCCGCTGTGCTTGATAAAATAATAAGGCTGCTTGAGAACACATATAAAGTGTGACAACCTTTAAATGTTGCATTATTAGAGTATGTGTACTTTATAAAAGCCAGTGTCATAAAGCAAAAAATAAATCTGCACTTGCACTAACCTTGAGTCAGCACCCTCTAAGATCTTGTCTGCTTGGTCCCCTATAACTTCTTGTCGTAGATAGTAGAGCATGCGGACACGCAGCAGGACCCTGGAGAGGAAGGCAGAGGGGGGAAAAAGTTCTTAACTTCAGGACTGTTTGCCAACAGTGGCTTTTGGCAGCTGCTGCTGTTCATCCATCATCCTGCCAAGGCTGATTAGCCATGCTGTATGGTAGGCTTGAAGCGTGACAGATGGTGGCACATAATCACCTCTGTGTGGTGCTTTCTGCTGGCTTCCAACAGGCCTGCCTGGCAACTGCTTACACTGCACAGAGAGGGACCCAGCTCAGCCCGGCCTCGGCGCATTTCATTTAGTTCTACCTAGTGCAGCTTGTGAAGTTTAGACACGTACTCTACCACTGCCTCTGAAGTATTGAAGCAAGTTTGTAAACAACTGAGCAGATGGCTTTCAGTAACTGTTCTGCTTCATTATCTCATAAAATTTCCTCAGCTGCTGCCTTAATACCATTTTTGGAAGCACATCAGAAGTTGTAGGAATAAACGAGATATAAAATCTGGTTTTACTACCTTACAATAAACCCTCAATATGGAATGTCAGGTTTTTCAGATTATACAACTTTTTGCTTCTGAGAATGGGGGAGAAAAATAATCCCCCGTTTCCCTTGAGAGATATTAACTATTTTTACTCTTTATAGTTCAAACTGCTATTTAATTACCTATGCACAACCTAACTGCCACAAGGAAGTGAAAATCTTCATGGTTTATTTTTCCCCATTTCTGCAATACTACAGTCATTTGTGGAAGCACTGTCAGGTGTTGTGGTCACACCTGAAGCTGGCAGGAGGGAGAATGGCAGACCGGCTTTTCAAGGAGACTTGAAATGAGGTCATTTCTGTAGAAAAAGTATCTACCTGAAAATAATCCTGCTCTCCTATGTTTACCCAATTCAGGGCACCCCCTGCTGCCTAGTTCACGAAGTAAAACCAGTACCGGCTAAGATGGAGATTACTCAGCCTGCCTTCTCACTGTATTTAAATCCATCACGGCAACTGTTGAATTGCTGCTGCTCCTGGAATAGCAAGGGTGACCAGGGAAGCAGTAATCTGATCACCCACTTGCATGAAAAATTTAGACCACCACCAGTTTTGAGAGCTCCTCATTAGAGACCTGATGCAACCAGAGCAATACCTGGTTTCACACGTGTTACTCAATCAAACCTCGGAAGAGGACAGATTTGAATGAAGGTCATGTCTGCAATTCAAAGCATGTCAAACATACTTCTTTTTGTATGCACGGTAACTGGGACCAGTAAGGTGTCCCTGCTCCCTGTGTGGCTATGTAAATAAGCTGTTGAGGGTCTCTATCATCTTAGTATTAAGCAATAACAGCTGTTACATCAAGCCAAAGAGGAGGAGCGGGAAATAAAACCCAAGATCAATCAAAAATCAGAGGCTCTTTGAATGTTTCAGGAGTCCTATGCATTAAACCAGCATACATGGTACACAAGAACAGGACATCAGTTCTTATAAAGCCAACTGCTACTGGTACCTTCGAAAGAAATTACTCAGATTATTAACTGGCTTCCACCTCTGTTTGATTTTACCTGTGCTAAACATGTGGCTTCTACAATTCACTTAGTCCTGGTGGATCTGGGAAGTGAAGGAAAAAGATAGCAACTGAAAACATTCTTGTACATTTACCAGTCTTCCCGATCCTTGTAATTGTATTATTAAAGAAGTAATATTTTAAAAATGAATTTAAGTCTGATCTGCAAACTGATATAACAAGTAATGAAGACATGTTACCTGAAAGATTATAATAATGTTCCAGGAAACAATTTTATTACTTCAAGAGCAAGTGAAGTATAATAACAGATCTGAGTAACAGTTCAGAAAAAAAAATAAATCACAAAACAGTTTATTTGGAAGTGTGCTTGCTAACGTAATTCTACGAGTATCTGTTGTCATCGGCTGAGAATTAAACTTGGTTAGCGTCTGGAAATGAGGTAATAAACCCCCCACATGCCTTTCCTCCTTCACATCACACCCCCTATTGACAGCCCACAGGTACTTTTCAAATCAATAATTTCTTTCCAGTAAACAGCATCAATAAGACACAATACATATTCAAAACACAAAAGTAATTACAACCTTGGAGTAACACTGCATTACAGTTGTATGTTATATATACAACAGTGAGTAGAAATTTAAAAACAAAACCAAACGTCCCAAATACCGAAAGCAAACAACGACCCCTCAACCCTAAAACCAGGTATTTTTGGGACAAGGGTAGGTTCAGTGTCTACAATGGATAATATAGTAGCAAGACTGAGATGGAGTCAAAGGAACCTGACATAAAAATAAGATATTACGAAACAAAAGCCAGAAAACAGGTAAGAGTCTCTTAAGAGACAATTCATGCAACAATTAAAAAAAAAAATAAATACAATGATCTTTATCCCCAAAGGTTTCCAGTTTAGTAATATGTTAGAATTTCAGAAATCAAATCAGGACAAAGCAATTCAGGTAAGAGAATTCAGTGAGAAATTTCATCTCAAAGAAGAAAAAAAAAATAATTTGTATAATGTGAAGAGCAAGAGAGGAAGGGAGAAAAAGAATGAAAAGATATGCCCACATATAGGTGAACTGCTACAAGAAACTCTGGAAACTGGATATATGAGTTTAACATCTAAGGAAGAGAACCTTAAGGACGTCAGCCTGAGAGACCCCACAAGAAGCGTAAGAAGCAAACAGCTTTTGTTTAAAGATAGCCAATTGTCAAGAGAAGTAGACAGTAGGAATATAGTCTTACGGTAAAAATAATAGCTTCATCTGATTCCATTCTTACTTAGTAAGCAGACAACAATTTTCTTCAGAACTGTGCTAATCAGTCATAAAGAGCTTACAGAAGTATCCAGATATCTATTAAGATGATTATCACCAAATTAAAAAGTAATAATGGCCTTTACATCCTATTAAATGGCCCTGTGTTCTATTAAATATATCAAAATTAAGTTGCAGACTTTTCAGAAGCATGTAGTTAAAAAAAAACCCAAACCTCTAAATGATACATTTATCAGTACTTACTTATTACAGTGATGTTTGAGATGTTTCCTATAGCTGTCTTCTTGAAATAATACATCTGGATTACAGGTTGTGAGCCAATCGGCATCTTGCAGCATTGGCTGTGAACTCTGGGCTTTTACTTTCTTCCCTTTCCTCCCTCTGGGCACTGGTGCAGACAGACCTAGATAAAATCCAAATATTTCTTACACAATCCAAATAGAAAAACTTTCACCCCAAACTACATTACAAACATACATTCAAAGCTAAGTATCACTGCTATTTTAATTACTTTGTGGGCAACACAACCACCAAAAACTGAACAGCAACATAATTCAGTACAGAAAATTGCAAGTAACAAAATCAACCAAAACTTTCATGCAAATTTAGGTGTGAAGATTTCAAAAATTCAGAGCGCGAGCCAGAAAATGGTGTTATATAAATATTTCTTGTAAAAACTCTCATGAATCTGAACGGCTGTAAGGAAACAAGCTTTCTGATTTATGGCAATTTAAAAGATATTAACTCCAGCAGTAGGTGTCAGTTAAAACTTATACTAGAATATTTGTTTAAAACTGATTCAAGGAAAAGAACACTGCATTCTACGAAGTGTGTAAGGGAGACTTCCCCTTTAAGTACAGACCAAGTCAAAGCCCACCTTACTCATAAAATCTGACAAGATCCTACGACATGTCAGAATGGCTATAGTTTAAACTAAATACATAGCATGACTGAAGCAATTCTTTCCTATTTACTAGCATCATTATTTGATTGTGGTAGACATACCGGAATGATTAACCAAAGCTCGAGTTTGCCCATCTGCAGTTGGAGTGATCAGATCCCAGATGAAACTTTTGATATTTTCATCCCCTTTGTAATGATTAAGACAATACACCAAGATAGTCCGGCAGATGGTTTCCACATCTTGTTCTGTTAGCTGACGTTTATAGCGCCCGTGTGAGAGGATGTCAGTCCACCGACCCCAGCTATAAGAAAAATATGTTCAATACAACAGCCAGGGCACTGGTATTTTAATTTGTGACTTTCAATTTAACTCCGGGTACCAAGCAAGTTGGGACCTCCTGTGTTAGCACTAATGCGTTTTGCATTTGCAGATTACGTCAGGGAATTCAATCTCCAGCACCAAAGAGTTAAGAATGTTTATTTTACAGAACAGGCAATAAGTTCACTGCTCGTAAAGCTGCAATTGAACTACGCTCAAAATAATAAAGTACATATGTTTAACTCTAATGGTCCCAGTAAGCTACAAATAGGAAACTCAACCAATCCCTACAATCATGGGATTTGGAGAATCATTCCTAGTTTGATTCTGAAATCCATTATTAGCAATTGTTGAATTCTACTTCCTAAAATAAAGACAATCATTCTGAAGCCAAATGTGTTAGCAATCAAATATAGCTACCTGTTTGCAAAGAGATAAAATTCAAATTGGTACATTCAATGGGGAAAAATATAAAGTATAAAATTTAAGTGGTGCCAAAATACCAGAATCTGTGTTGAAAACCTCTAGATTGACTGTTGATTTCAGAACTACGTTGTTCTTTACAAATACACTTTTACTACTCTCCTCAACACTTAGAAAAGAGAGATTAGAACTTGATAACTCAAGAATATTTATGCTATGAGAAACCAGAAACAAGTATTCCATCATTGCAAAACTATTTATCATACCAGTGAGCTCATAGCCATCTGATAAGACACTCAGATACTTTAAACTATAACACATATATAAACAACCTATATATATATATATATATATATATATATAGCAACCAAAAAAATCTCACTGGCATGTATACAGCATAATGAGGCAAACATTATACAGTAAGAGATGATGTGAATGTGTCCAAGAGAAGGATGAGTTATTTACTATATGTAATTTCTGTATTTTCACATGTTTAGCCACAATCAGTATATTTGTACATCCTTACCCATAAACTAACAAGTTCTTCTCCACCCTGAAACATTCACTTCTTGCATAACCTTGTGATTTGTCCTGAGGTCTACGGGGCTTTGTGCTAGGCTTTTCTTCAGAATCGCTTTCCAAGTCTGAAAACTCCATCAGTTCATCCTCTTTGACTGCACTGTAGAGTCTGGTTTGCTTTCTTACTCTTGGTGTATCAATAACTAGGTTATTCTAAAATGAAAGTGACAATGTAGAAATTTAGGAGAGGGGAAAAATCCTCAATTTAGTTGTACTAGGAACAATCATAAAGCTCTTACCCTTCCATTTAGAGCATCAATATCCAGCTCGGCTTTCTTCGCCCACTTCTGCCAAAAATTAGGGTCATCCAAAGAAATGTCTGTCCTGTTCCCAGATGCAACAAAACTAGCCTAATAAATGTGAAAACACATGCATTGGTTTCTTAACTACATGCTACAACAAATACCTATTTTTCTCTAGCAAATACACTACTTAGAACTTATGAAATGGTAGCATCAAGAAAGAAAGAAGGTAAACCTGGAAAATATCGATGCTGGAAATACAGATTCCCAACATTTGCAAGGAAAATACCTGAGACAAGTACAGTGAAAAAATAAATAGACAAAGAAGGCAACTTAATATTACTTCCATCTATTCTGGTCACATTTTATTTATTTTCCTCTGAATTTCAATGCACACCTTTGCAAATGTTGAGCCTTTTCCTTCAGATTCGATAGTAATTGTGTGTGTTCGCCTTAAGAGAATCTGATCGATATCTTCTTCACAAAACTTGGACCCTTCATCTTCCTCATCCATCAGAGCACCATATGCCCCCTTTCGAAGAAGATCTTCAATTTCTTTTTTAGAAAGCTGTTGCACCTGTAACACATAAGAGAGGGATTTTGTTTTTGGTTTTGGGGTTTTTTTTGACCAGCCCACGTGTTCATCCGACAGCACAATCAGACTGATTGTCCTCTTATTTGGCAATTTAAGAACTGAAACTCTACAATAATGTGGTGTTGGTCAATTAAACATTCATGCTGAAATCACCTTTTAAAGAAGAATATAAACAACAAAATTCTCAGGGTGAAGTTATGCAAGTAGTTTAAACGACTTAATAATTCATTGTCACTGAATCCCTTTAGCTCTGATGACTGCTGAACTCCTCCTGGGAGCAGATTTAACATACTAACCTGACAAAAAAGCTAAAGCAAAGAAAGTCCAAAGCAAAAAGGTTACACCAGCAAAAGCTAACTAGAAGAACTCCATAAAGTGCCAGGATCAACACAATGTAAAGGGCGGAATGACAAGAACGGATCAGGACCGAGGGAACATGACTCCACCTGCCCTCTTTTGGCAATAAGCGAGCCATTAGATAGGCTGAGCCAGTTCACGTAGCCAATGCCCTTAATTAACCCTAATTTAAAATATATGCTGTAGTCCATCTGAAAACCACTGTCCTCCAGTTAAAATGTAAACAAGCAAGAAAAGTCTAACACATTCATAGCATTTGTTGACAGTGCACCTTAAAATATTAATTCTCACCCCATTTGTAGCATTTTCTCTTCCGCTCATAGATTGCAGCACAGCCTTATCAAGGCCCAGCTTCAAGCTAGCTTTGTCAAACATTTCCCTTTCATAAGAATTCCTTGTTATCAATCTGTAAATTTTCACTGATTTGCTCTGCCCTATTCTGTGACATCGTGCTTGAGCCTGATGAAACAAAGGCAGATATTCAGTTACAGGTCACAAAAGGAAGAAAAACAAAATTCAAATAATCAACACAGAGAACTTACTTTAAAAGTTATTGTTTTCAATATAAATAATAATGTTTATGCTTTCAAGAGAGTGATAATGGATAATTTCTCTTGTAGATGAAGAAAATTTCACAGCAAAAAGGCAAAGAAAAATGTTCAATAAAATCATCTCTTGTAACATTACCTGGAGGTCATTTTGGGGGTTCCAGTCTGAATCAAAAATGATGCAGGTATCAGCAGCAGTAAGATTAATGCCCAAACCTCCTGCCCTTGTACACAGCAGGAAAACAAACCTATCAGAATCAGGTCTTGAAAACCTGTCAATAGCTGCCTGACGCAAGTTGCCTCTTACTCGGCCATCAATTCGCTCATATGGGTACCTGAAAAATAGATGCATTTCAGGGATTGCTTTACTACAGCTGCATTCTTTAGAAGAATATGCAATTTTTTTAAAAAAATGAGAAAAAAAAGAGTAACATGCTACTATAGGGTCAAAAGAACTACAATAAACTAAGTGACTGCTCCTATATCCACTAACTTCACCAGTAAAAGACATCCTACTTTGTCTTCTGCTCTGCACCTTTTGGTAAAGAACAGACTTTCACTCCAAGAAATGAAATAAACATTTAGGCCTAAGCTACAAAACTCTAGAGCCACCAAAACATTTTACTGAGCAGTACACTAAGAGGTTTAAAGCTCTCCATATGAAGTAATTTTGTATTCACTTGACAGAAAAATCTCAGTACTAGCAACTTACAGGTACGTTCCTTCCCTTAATCAGATCGCTACAGAAAATACTGTAGTGTTTGAATTTCATCCTTTTTCATTATGGATTACTCACAGGTTAAATACTGTGGCCACTGAGGAAGGCACAGTTTATTTATAATTGTATTATATTGTTGCTCTCACCGTCTTTGAATGAGGTAGTCTTCCAGTATGTCCAAGCAGCGCACCATCTGGGAAAAGATAAGCACCCTGTGGCCACCAGCCTTCAGTTTTGGCAGCAGCTTGTCAATCAGTACTAGCTTGCCAGCAGCCTGGATCATTGCCTGGAGCTGAAAATCTGGAGAGTCGGCATTGTGTGTTTCTTTAAACTCTTCCAAAATTTTCTCTTCAGCACCTGCAAAGATTGGACAGCAATACATGAACACTGCAAAGGGTTTTATTAATAAACAATGAGCTCGCCTTCAATACCCTATAGAAACTGTAGGAATGTTTTAAGCACTATATGAATAAACATTTATAAAAAATAAACATTTATAAAAAATATTAAGCTTAAATTTAAGACAAACATATACACAAATGCAGCATAAATAAAAAAGTAACTCTGAGAATTCATTCCTTTTTTTTTCCTCTTTTAAACAACAGTAAACTCTTTCCTAAATAAATTCATAGAATTATTGATGCACACAATTTAAGGAAAAAAATTAAGAAAAAATATTAAAAAAACCCCTATTTCAACTGATAAAATTATTTTTTTGTCCTTTTAAAAATGCAATATGAAAGAAAAAATATCCTACTTCTACAGGAAAATACAAGGAATACAAATACATGCCCATGACTCCAAAATCAGCCTTAAACACCCACATGACCAGAATCTGATCCTTCTATTATTAATTACAGAATCAAAATCCAAACAATGAAAAAACTAATTGGGGGAAAGCAGCTCTGAAATTATTAGTTTACCTTCTATTTAGTTTTTTTCTCACTGAATGTATTTTTTGTATTCAGTCTGATAAAGCTATCCAACATATATATTCTTTCCAGCATTAGTCAAAAGTTCTGTCTTGCCGCTCAATTTGCCTATGAATGATACACACAGCAGCATCTACTTCCTTGTTCTGCGCACCACCACAAGACCAAGTTCAAGCTTTCTCTTCAACCTCTCCTATGCTTTTATTGCATTTTTTATGTCATTTCTACAAACAGTGGACAGTTTCAAGAATTATCAGATTGCTATTCTTGGCTAAGTAAAAGGTTAAGAACCTTCGTTCTAAGCTTATTCCATATCCAAATAAACCCTTTTTTGGAACCATCTTTTTCAGTCTCTCTGCCCTTTTTTTTTTTTAACAAACTGTAGTTTATAAAGTATTTCTAGTTTTTATAATATTCAGCTTCAATTCTTCTTTTGAATAGCACAAGGAAAGCTGGGAGGGCTGGGGGAGGGGGGAAGAACAGCTTATTGCCAGGCTTCTGCTGAGCATCTCTCTCTCATATCCCAGTTCTAAGTAGATGCCTGTAAACAAACACGGAAATGCACCCTCCCTGTGTGATCGCTGGTTCAGTGCCTGCTGTAATGTGGTGCCCTAACTAGATACCACCCTGAGCAGGCTGACTGACAGCTTCGTGCTACTCCACACACTTGAATTACTTGCTTTTACAGAATGTGAAGGACTCAGTGTGACCACATTTGAAGATAGTTCTACATCCCCAGATTTTCCTCATTGGGATTCCCTGTTCCAAGCACCACTCATCCTCATGGGTTGCACATAAGAAAAATAAGCCCATAGGAAAATTGTGTAATCAGACGCTTAAAGTTCCCCTCAATTTTATCACTTCCCATCTTGTAAAATGGGCAGAAATCTCCAATTCTGTACTGAACTTCAGCAATTTCAGGAAACAGTAGACTGTCAAGTAGTTCATACACCGTAACTTCAATGATCTTTCCCTGTTACATCAATTATTTCTTATTCAATTGTGATATCCAAATTTAAGTTTACTACTGTGAAGCAAACCAATATGCAAACACCATCTGCGAAAGCAAACCACCTAAGCCAAGCACACCACAACAAACCCCCAAACTGTTCTAATGAACAGTAAATTTACAGCAGAACTTGGTCTCAGCAAGACCCACATCCAAACCAGACCATGACCTCCAAAAACCTGCTCTTTCAAGAACTCTGTCCTAGCTAAACGCCATAAATGGCCATCCTGTCTTTTTAATTACTACTTCAATTGCAATGAAGTCATGTACACTGAGCATCCTGTTACCCAAAAGTTACTTGTACACAGCAGTAGTTGTGGGTCTGTAACAACAGTTCCTATCCTGGCTGATTTTTACCAGGGGATGAAAGGAAGGTATATGAATGTGTGTCTGGGTTTGGTCCGTTAGGGAAATCAAATCCCCACTTCCACTCCTAATTATGAGAGGCTTCCAGGGCTCAAGAGAGCAAAACAAACACAGTAAGGAACCCTTCCAGTGCTCAATGCTGTAAGATGTGTAAGTACAGAAGCATTCCCCACTGCTGACTCTTGGAGACAGAGAAAGAGGAATGATGTATAAATACTTGGGAATGGTTGCTATGGAGAAAACAAGGAGTCCAGCTCTAAGAAAAATGACAGACAATGCTTTGCCCAAGTTGGTTGGAGAATACACAAAACGTAGTAACTACCTCTAGAAGTCTACTCACAGTCTCAGCAGACCACAGAACACATCTATCAATCAAAAAACAAACAAAAAAGCCACTCTACATTCAACTCCTACCCTACTACTTCCATCACATAACCTTAACTGAAGAATCTATAGAAGACTTGCTTGCAACTCTTATGCAAAACAAAACGTACAGCGTGCTATTTGGATATTCAAATACACGTGCAATACTGCTTGCTCACAAAACCTGCAAACTTGTAAGAAAGGAAGAAAGATTCAGCGAAACTTTAAAAAACCATTTAAGTCTCAAGAACAGAACTTGCTACTGCAACAAATCATTCATCAGAACAATATGCAGCCATTAAGTACTAGCACAGAGAACTACAATAAATTTGTGTCACCACACTCTAAGTACAAAGATGTTGATTTCAGTCAATAAAATAAAACCTTGGGTTCGGACAACTATAGGATGTATTTTCTGTCCCAGAACTACAAAGGACGTATTTGTTGAGTTCCATCTCCACGCTAAAAAGTTGATTTATTTATTTTTTCCCTCAAATCTGAAGGCTTGACCCACCTGCCATGTTGCTAAGTGAGACCAAGCATGTCCAAAGGTTCAAAAATCACAAAAATGTTATAAAGGCAAATGCATTCAAGAGACAAACCCACCCCCTTTTATTAGGGTAAAGATACAGTCATAAAAAAAAGATTTGAAATTTTCTAAATAACCACCTGGACTTCAGCAGTTCTTAAATGACATTAAATGACACAAGCCTTCTGAGGGAAAAAGATCACTGCTGTAGGCAACACTGCAAGCACTACTCATAAACTCTATTTGACAAAACAAAGTAGCAGCAAAATATTCAGTTTATTTCTTTTAGCAAACAAGAAATAAGAAAAAATAATGGCAAAGTTAAAACTATCTGAATGCCAAGAAGCACCAAGTTCAGAAGCTCATAACTTGAGCATCTTAAACTATTTTCTGATTAAGTCATTCATATAATGGATTCATGTAAAACAAACAAACAAACAAAAAGAACAAAAAATTCCCAACAAACCCTGCACCAGAATCACAAGGCTACTTTACTGAATGTTCATATGAGTTTAGAAACGGAGCAGCCACCAGCATGGCTGAGTTAAGCATTCTGGGGTAACCCTGTGTCATATCTTTGGAATAATTACTTGTGCATGAAATATAACTAGATGTAATTTCATGAATCAGTTTAAGCATTCCCCCCACCCCCATTGAAACAAAAAATGTCAAAGAAAAAAACTTAAGTACTGCAATATGGAAGTCATACAATTAAAAAAACTGAAATCACATATGGCTCTCAAACAATAGTCTTCAATCAACAGTCTCAAACAAACAGTCTTCCATCATAAAGCTTATAACCAGCATTAAACCAACCATAACATAAATCATATACAGTAAGGAAGAGGAGCTGGGAAACAAGAAATTAGTAGAATACAAGCCTGTACAGAGGCTTGTGTTACAACCTCAAAGGGAAGAACTGACCAACACGTACAAGTTTAGCAAACTTCAGACAGCTATAGCTAGCAGGTTCATCATCGGGTTGGTCACTGGAACAGGCTCCCCACAGAAGTGGTCACAGCACCACAAGTCAGAGTTCAAGGACCATCTGGATGACACTAACCCATATGATACAATTTTAGCCCTGTGAGGTATAGGGAGTTGGACTCAATAACCTCTATGGGTTCCTTTCAACTTCAAATATTCCGTGATTCTACAGTACTTGCCAAGGTTAATCCTGATCTAAAACCAATAGCACCACACCAAAAAGCAATCTTTAAAACCTAAGATGACATTCATACTAATCTTTTTCTTACTAGTTATATTAAGAAAATGAGTTGATAACATGTGGCTATAAAAGGAGGCCTGGTCATGATTTCTTACCCTGCAACTTTTATTTAGAAATTTTAAGTCACTATATAATAATGCTCTACATCAAGAAATTAAGCAGCAGCTAACTACAACTCTGAATAAAAAATTTGCCATATTCATGCATCCAACAACCCACATGATAACTGGTCGTTTGTCAGAAATAACAGAAAGAAAACTTGATAATACCAATACCAACTTTGTCAGGGCTAGGAAGTCGTGGAAAAAAGCACAGATGTCTGCAAAAGCCATGCTGTCCTGGCTAGCACATATCCATACCTATGAAACCTAAAAGGCTATCTCACTTTTCTATTTAAAATACATGAATAAACAAAAAGACACACTGGAATAGAATTTGTACCTACTAAGTATCCTTAAAACCATTTTTCAAATGAAGAGAAAAATAGGAGGCCTACCATTAATAAGGTATGGATGATTGCAGCATTTTCTTAGTTCCATCATAGTGTTTAAAAGATTAGGTACATTTGCCTGACCTCCACCCTTGGAAAGAAATGTGAAATTCTTTTCAAGAATAGCACGATAGTATTTCTTCTGAATATTTGTCAGCTCAACTTCAATGATTGTTTCCTCTTTGGGGGCCAGGTTCTTTTCTACATCCTCCTTGAGACGTCTCAGCATCATCGGCTTCAAAATAGCTTGGAGTTTTTGCACCTGGAAAACAGATGTTTAATAAATAACTGAATTAAAACTGCAAGGCTTCAAATATTCATTTTTCAATTTCCTTAATTCTAAAATCCTTGTTTCCTACCTCAAATCCCAAGTAGAGAGCATTTGTAAAAAATCTTTCCTCAGTGGCCTAGAGACCGAATTCTCCTCTATAACTCAGTGACATACACACTTCTAAAGTCAATGTTTAGTGTGTAGCCCTTCTGTTTCGTGATGTTTGTTATTAATAAGACCTCAGAACTATCCTTCTAGACAAGGACAGTACTGCACACAAGTCATGTAGAGCTAACCCTGAATACAGCTATATACGCAAATCTAACTTTTGCAGTTCACTTTTAATCACTAAACAGTGATTAATGCTATTTTCCCCCTTTAGAGATCTGCTTCTAAGTAGAAAACTATTTAGGCCTGGTCTAAAAATGGAAACATTTTAGCTTTAAGACTCTGATAATTTTTAGTGTCTCCAGGTTTTGTGGCATATACTTTAAAACACATCCTAAAGGGTGGAAGGGGGAAAGAAGAAAATGCCCATTTTCCTCAAAAAAAAAAAAGCTAAGTTACTTCAAATTTTTGTAAATTCCCTCACATAAAAAGTTTAAACATAATCCATAAATAAAAAAAAGACTGGCATTTAGGTTGTTTTAGTTGTCTCTCAAAGTACAAACCACCTCCGCTGGACAGCTAATAATTCACCCTGAAACTGGTCGTCATCTCCTGATCATCACGAACAAAAGACACTTTCTCCTGAATTCACATAATTCCCTTAGTAATAAGGCAACTTCAGGAGAAAAAAGATAGATTAGTATGGTAGGATGAACAATTAAAAAAACATATAAAATAGGATTGCGAGGAATAGAGGAAAAACCCCCAAGTCATTAACACATAATCTGTACCATCACTTGCAAGATAAATCCAATTCCAAAACATCTAATCGCGTGTCTGTCAACAGAGAAGGAAGTTCTTCCAAAACTTATTGGGCCAAGCAATCCAGGCTCTAAATCCGTTCATAGTCAATGGCATTATTTTAGTAAAAGTTCCATGTATGGCTTCAAAAGCTTCCAGTCATTTAGAGCTGGCCAGACAAAAGCTATGCTGAGAGTTCAGATATATTAACTCCAGTTCAAACACTGTATTAACAGGACATGGCTTCTGGATCAGAGCTGGCTCATTTTCAATCAGGTCAGGGTCCATTCTGACTAGCATGCAACAGCCTGCACCATCTGTGGAAACATATCCTATGATTTTGACAGGAGGTAAGGGTCTGGGGGAAGAGCTATTTTGTAATTTATACTATTACCTATGAAAGAGCTTATCTCAAAGGAAGTCAACAAATTCAAGCAGACAAAAGTTAAGAGATATCAGAAATCAAATTTTCAGACAAAGAGAACAAAACTGCACACAACAATGCATGCAGTTATTGTTATAGGTTGCAAACAGCCAGATGAAGATGCCATGTTTCAGTTAACTGCTAATGTTAAGGTGATTTGGCTTTTTAAAAAAAATTTCTTACGCACATGGAAACATTTTACATTTCCGATATAAAACATGCTGCACTGTATATTGATTTAAGCATCTCTTATTGGACAGCTTGAGAAATCTGTTTCTGAGTCAAGAAACCCCCTCCCTCCATTTGCTGAACTGGGTTTCAAGTATGTTCCTGTTTGCACAGAATCATTGAGGAAACTCTCAGATGTTAATTCCACAGAAGTTACAGCACCCTCACTGATGCTGATACTTAAGGAAGAATGTCAACCGACAAGTTAATTCTCTTAGAAGTGTTTTTATCCAGAAAGCATTACAAGACACACAACCCCTATTTTTAAACGCTACATTTTAACAAAGGGAAGTAACTTTTGGTCAAAAAGCAAAAAACTTAACAAAATGAAAACAAACAAAAACACAGGGATAAAACCCACTGTGGTCTTCCAATAAGCAAATAAGTACTATTTGTAAAAACAAGTAATGGAGTTCAGATGTAATTAGATGGATAAATTTATAATATCTAAACAGAAAAGTAAGTGTGCAAGTTAAGTTTACCTGCTCTTCGGTTTTAAGATCCCCAAATTCTTGCATGAATGTGGTTTCTGATGGGAAGCGACCTGGTTCCAAGAAGTGAAGCAAGCTAAATAGCTCTTCTACTGTATTTTGCAAAGGGGTTCCAGTAAGCAGCACTTTATGCTCCTGAAAGGTTAAGAAATAGTTGCCTAAGAATTCATCTCAATTAATTTTCAATGGGAAAATACACAAATTTCCTTCCTCTCATCACCATATGTCTGTCTTATCTTTGCTTCCTTTCCCCTCCCCCAGCTACTTACATAAAACTCTTTTCAAGACATTTCTAACTGGTACTCTGGCCTTCCTTCAGCGTTAGCTCAGAAAAATACTTCACTACTTAAGCACCTTCAAAAGTCCTCCAAGACACAAGAAGAGATTTTACTGATCCAGACCATCCCAGCTCTTTCACAAGTACAATGAACTTTAAATGGCAAAATTACAGCTGAACATATACCATCACTTCCACTAAAAATCCACCGATTTACCACACATCCAATAGACCTCAGTGCATTAATCTCCTCAGAGCAGGTGTAAGTTTCCAACACAGTAAACCTGAAGCAGAGGTCTACTGTACTACTAAATGTTACAGAGCATGAGATGGGCAGAGACTCATAACAGTTACATATTCCTTTAGAGGAGCAGCACAGAGAGATTAAGCAACTAGCCCACAGTCTAACATGAATTTTGTAGTATAACAAGAACCCATGTGAGAAGTCCCATATCTCTATCTATTGCCACTACTATAAGTTCAGCTTCCCTCTACTAGCAACAGGACAATAAATTGTATACAGCATTTTTACAAACTTCGTTAATAACATAGCATAACTGCATTCTCCTCATATTTTAAAAGAATCTTCTGACCACAAAAAAATAACTATTGTGTCCTTTAAATGGTAAATACCTTTACACTATCTTATTTTTCTCTGTGTGCTTAATACACCTATTTTGTACACATATTACACAATTATGTAACATCAGAAACAAACTTACTTTTCCCTTCCTTAGTCACTCTGAAAGAACATCCTTATGGCCACACAACAAATTAACATTAGAGCTGATATTAATGCAGAGCAGTTTGACTCTCATGGCTGAATTTGGTCTCCTGACCACATTATACTTTTAAATAAATGTCTGTGTAAAGGAGTGACTATGGGTTAAGTCACATGAAAGGAGAGAAAGGAAAGAACAAATTTATCTTGGTTCTCTTAACAGAATCCACATAATTCTAGGCCTAAATCAATGAAAAAACTTAGTAAGCACCAGCACTCCAAAACTGAAGGTATGCATATGCTTCCAGGTATTTTACAGACTTTCTCATCTGCGTTCCTTCACCTCACTCTTCTTAACACTTGATGATTTACTTCAGAAGAAAATCTTTTATTTTACTTCCAGATTTAATCATAAATCAGAAGTTATAAAGATACAGATGTTCGCACTGACCAGATCCATCATCTTTAGTCCTTCCAAAAGCTTACAGTTCCTGTTTTTCAGCCTGTGGGCCTCATCAATGACCACGCAACGCCATGGAATGTTACGCAGCTCTGGGCAGTCAGTCAAGATCATTTCAAATGTTGTGATAATGGCATGGAACTTGTAGGACCCCTTTATCACACGACCCTAGAAAGAACAGCAAACATTAAAAGTAAACTCCCTAGCAAAGAAAGGAAGTAATTTGTTTCATCTTCAAAATTTTTGTTTAAAAATACAGAACAGTACAATGAGCAAATTGTTCATGTAAAGTAAATTAAATCATAATTGCTAACTAAATAAGGGAATACAAATGTGTAAGTTTGCTGATGACTTCATGATAGGTGTTTTTAATACTGTAAAAAGGCCCACAGAACCACTGCACATTCATTACAAAGAAGTTATACAAGTATTTCAGTTGTAATTCATAGGGATTATACTAATGCCTTGAGGCATTAATGTATTGCTGCAATATTCAAACAAGATTTTCAGACTTTGTCAAGAGAATTCCTTTTTTTCTTTAAAAATCAAAGGTATGTGAAGGTCCTCCCAGACAATCCAAATAGGGCAGAAGTGCACTAAGGTTTCCTTTTTATGACTATTTGAATATTGTGTTAGACACTCAGTATTCAAAACACCTATAATTCATAGAACATCTTGGGTTGGAAGGGACCTTAAAGACAATCTAGTTCCAAACTCCCTGCCAAGAGCCCCAACACTTTCTACTTGATCAGTTTGCTCAAAGTTCCATCCAACATAGCCTTGAACAATTCCAGAGATGGGGCATCCACGACAACTCTAATAAACAGCTTTGAAAGAAGCAAACATTTGAACTCTTAAATGGAGAATGCATACAATTCCATAATATTTTTGTATATCTGTATTAAGCAAAGTTTAACAGGACAATTAACTTGATGTCTGGCACCATATTCACTATCATTAATTAAGTCTTGTTTTCAGCGCTTATACAAAGAGCCTTTACAAAAAACCCAGCCTGAATAAACTTTACTCATGAACATGTAATGAGCATCTTTCTGATATTATGCTATGCTCCTTCCCAATGCTGTTCAAAGAAAAATGCAATTTGGTATCTCCGATGTCACTGGGTCTGTGCAGAAAAACTGTCTCTCTAAGGATGGGCCTCACACAAGTTCAAAGCCATTCTATGTTTTCAAAGCAGGACTATGTCAGGGGTTGTATACTGAATACATTTCAAAAGAAACAGATATTTTACAGTAAGGTGACCATTTCTTCCTTAAGACCTGTGCAAGACTGAATCCTTTTATAAGTGACCTGCATATAACCCTTTCCAAACCTTAGAGATCAGAACTGGCTACTGATTGAATAAAATGATTGGAAACCTGATATCCTGAACTCAGCATTAAATCTGCCTTCTTGCACCAAGAACATTTCGGAGGGAGTAATGACCTGCTCAACTATGCTTTCTCATGGCATAGTCCAGAAACATTTATCTCCTTAGGGACAAAAAAAGTTGCTACTTAACAAATAGCAGATGAAGATATACTAAGTGGGCAGCTTTGAAAGCCAGCAAATTGAAATGCTGTAACCTTTCCATGAGCCAAGTAAACCTCTATCACAAACAAGTCAACTCTTTCACAGAGCTCTGTCATTAGCTCTATTTGGCATATATAGTTTTCCTGATCTTAAAATAGAACTCCTTCTAAGAGGTAGAACACTTCAGAAAAGCAAATGTATTATTTGATATTCCACCCAGGGAAGGCCCCCTAGAAGGATTTTTCAGTTAAATTGCTCAAGAACACCAGAATAGACTACTCTATGAGAATCTCATGAGCAGAATGTCTCTGGTAATACCATCTTACTCTGGTAACACCAAATCCTTACTGTTGAAGTCACACCACTGCAGAAACTTATTTTGTCATCAACAACTCTAGCATTTCACAACAACTTGACTCTGGTAACTGGTGTTGACTCTGAAAACCCACACTACTGCAGATGGGTAGGTGTTTTATATGCATGCTGTCTCTTGTTACAGCCCTTCAAAGCCACTCAGACTTTCTCAATGTTCAGTTGTCTTTTTGAGAAACAGCTCAGCTTGAGAGGCTTCTTTTCACATTAAGACCTAAAAAGCCAAAGATGTTGATGTCTTGGTTGATACATTTGGCAAGGCAACTAGAAATGAAACTGCCAAATCCTGTCTTCTTTCTCTCCCTTCTTGTCTCCCATCGTACGCCCAATGATGATACTTTAGAGAATGCCAGACTGAACACTACATGGGGACTATTATGTCAGAATACGAAGAGACTTTTTTTCCCCCCATAATTCAGTTTCTAACATGCGTTTCACACTGACACCATCTTACAAAGAATGGAACACAGAAGGTGACACATCTAAGCTAGCTGCCACCAAAAGGATGAGTTCACTCCCTTTCTCCTTTATCTGCAAATGTAGCAATTGTCTGAATCTCCTCTTAAGCCAGTTCAGGGAGCAAAGCTAGCAGAAAATTATTCATTTTCTCATTGCCATGAGTGCTTTGTCATTACTCGCTGTGGGGTTAAATGACTGCCACGCTCACTGCAAGAGTCAAGTTAAGAATATGGCAACAGGGAGACCAAAACTTTCTGCAGCGTCTTGCTGAAAATCCTTTTAGTTGCCTTTAGATCAACGAAACAATATTGCCAAAATAACACTAAGAATCTGCACAGTAAGTGGGATTTTTCTGATGACATTGCTTCAGGTTTCATGCTAGGTAACTGCTGTATCCTAAGGGGAAGAACATGCTGAGAACAAGCACTGCTTAAATAACCAACAAACATGATTTTTAACACAGGAAACATTTCAGTAGAGACAGTATTTATATAAATCCAAATTTTTAAAGTATATAAAATATCAATCTCTGCTAAGATTTTATTTTAAAAAATTATTTCAATTCCAGTTCATTTGTACACTATACATCTAGGTAAGAAGCTAAATGTGATAATTATCATAAGGAATATCATAGAATCATAGAATGGCCTGGGTTGAGACCTTATAGATCTTCTAGTTCCAAGACCCCTGCTGTGGACAAGAATACCTTTCACTAAACTGGTTGCTGAGCTCCATCCAACCTGGTCTTGAACACCTCCAGGGATGGGGGCATCCACAGCTTCTCTGGACCATTAGACCTCAGCATAGCAACTGTTATTCAATTAAATCTTTAACAACCAGGTATATGATTTTGATTTGAAAGTTTCTTGGATAAATTGCTGAGACGATTATTGTCAAGACCAAACAGATGTAACATTTAACCAATATAAATTACTTTGTGTTTTTCTACTATACTAAAGTACGTGATTCTATTTCTCTTTGTCCTAATGGCATGTCAGGTTGTGCCACAGTCATCACCTTCAAAAGAGGTTTTAATCAGTTCTTTCCCTGTAAAAGCATATTTTATATCTTGCCAACACCCTCATAGCTTTGCTCTAAGACTCCAGTTTTTCAACACTCTTTTTGAGGACAGGAAGTGAAAGCTAAGCAGGACTACCCACCACATTACTGACAAAGAGAAGAATGCTGTAACTTCTCTCATCCTTATTAAAGATTTGTTTCCTCCTACACACTAGCCCTTTTCACCACAGTCTCACAGTATGAACTCATATTTAACTGGTCGTGTGCCATAGCACAAAAGAATCTACATTTGTCTTACAGCCTTCTCAGAGCCGAGCTCTCTGCCTACAGTAAAAATCTTCATTCCTTGTCCACAGATAGTCCTATATTTAGCTATTCTGAGTATTGTTAGCTTGGATCCCATTTATTAAGTAACACAGCTTACTCTGTATGCATGTCTTAATGCAACTGTCTTAATTATTTACCACTCTCCCCATCTTTGCATCATTTGAAAACTTCCTCAGTAATGATTTTATGTTTTCTTTCAGGTCATTGATAAAAGTGTTATATAGCTCATGGACACAAACCAATCCCTGAAGAACTATGCTGGAAATGCAAATCATTTCTCATTTACAATTACATCAAGACATATCAGTTAGCCAGTTTTAAATCCACTTAATGTGTGCCATATTGATTTTATATCCTTCTAGTTTATTAATCAAAATATCCAGTGGCATAAAATCAAATGCTTTACAGAAAATCTAAATGTATGAATTCACCACTATCACTTCCTTAAGATCAGTTGAAAATAATACTCCACAATATATCAAATCAGGTTGGACTTCCACTCTTTTTATTTTTCCTGTTAAGTGAAGAGGATTATATTGTTTTGCAATATCGCTCAATGTATGCACATTATTTTCCCCCAATTCTGTTTACTCTGGGCAAAGCCACGCACTTAAGAGTAGAGGTCTGTTGCTCTTCTTAGCTTCTGTTTTCCAAATAATTTTTTGTTTTTACCCCTAACCTTTTCTGTACCTGCTTTCCTTCACTCACAGGAACTATTCAACCTGAGCACAGTAACACAGATTCAAAGTATATTCTGACTTACAAAATTTGATAAAGAAGCATCAACAAGTCTAATTTCTGGAAGTGGATCTTTCCTGGAATGGTGGGCAAAGACTGATTTTTAAGCTTAGTTCCACCTAAAGTAGTTTCTCCGTCAAGAATCTTTTCTGCCAGCTCTTCTCAGGGATGCATAGTAACAAAAACCTTTCATGAAACAATGAAACTCTAAACAAGAGTTGCACCATCCCTTGGTGCCCCTCTATTTCCAGCCGATCTACTGGCTGTTATTAAAAAGCACTCTCCTTACTAATACACATATCTTCTTTATTAGCTAAAACCTAACATACCAGTACTGCAAAACTAATTGATGCTTAAATTAATAAACAACACTAAGGTATATACAAAAATAAAAAAGAAAAATCATGAAGAGCTTTTACCTGTGGATCTTTGAAATACATTTCATACAACTGAATGGTCCGTCGACTTGCTTGACTCCCATGATACACAACCACGTTTAACTCTGTCCAGGTGCGGAACTCCCTTTCCCAGTTGGGAATTGTGGACAATGGTGCAATAACCAAGAAAGGACCATGGATTCCTTTCAAATATATCTCATAGAGAAACGTAATGGACTGGATAGTCTTTCCCAACCCCATTTCATCTGCTAAAATGCAGTTTCGTCTGAAAACAATAATAAAAACAGTCTGAATGATTTATTCCTAACTTAAAACATAGAAAATCAGTAAGAAGATAGCCTGAGTAAACCAGGTATTTCTAAAATTGCAAGTTTACACTGAAAAGATATCATAATCTTTTTGTATTTTAAATAAATGTTATGATTTGTGATGCAATAAGCATGGATATATCCGTTCTATGTACCTCTCAAGTTCACAATAGGAAGGAAGGGGCAGCAGGGGGTATGCATGAACCCAAAGCATTTGCCACAAGAATCTATCTGAAATATTCATGTTCCACCCAAATTAGTTTGTATATGACTCCCACAGCAAAAAATGAGACATGTAAATGATTCTAAAACCTCGATTTAGATGATTACTTTAAAAGGTTATTATTCCAAATAAGCTATAAAAGCTTTTCCATAGCAAGATTCAGCAGTAAGCAATGTTTTACGTACGTGTTGTACCAATTGAAAAGAAGCCAGTTTACTCCCTCCAACTGGTATTCCCTGAGTTTGTTATTGTTTTTATACTCCCTGGAACTCTCCGATTTCTTCCAGTCATCGGCAGGAGGTCTCTCCTGTTTCAAATACAGCAAATCCCATTAGTGGTTTCTAAAAGACCACATTACTTTACTATTTTCAAATAAAATTCTCTATATGGAGCCAATTCTTACCACACGCTCCATTTCTGGCTCCCTAGACATCAGTTTCTCAAATTCTTCGATCTTAGCTTGGTCGATGTCTTGCTTGAGCTCCCAAGTGCTGTCTTCATAAGGAAGCGAACACCATTTCACCAGATAATGCGTTACAGGCTTTGTTAAGACAAAAATAATATTACATCACAATACAGAAAGAATAGAAGTGTAACCATTTTTACAGGAGATCTGCAGCCCAGATAAAATTCAAAAAGCTTTACCAGACCTGAATCAGCCAGGCTGACACCTTGACAACCTAACGAAGTAAGATTAGAATGTGGGGAATGCAGGCTTTTCACTAAAACGAGCACACTACATTTGAAATCACTAAGGTTAGACTAAAATTTAGAAGTAAAACAATATTAATTTTTCAACCCTTACAATTTCTATGACATACTACATATATTGAAAAAAGTCAACAGTTATCTTTTATCAGTGTCATCAAAAACTTCCCAGCAGGCAACTCAACCACTGCCATTCACTGACAGAGCAATATGGAAACACTGGCACAGCCAGTGAAGCTTTCTAGTCTCCCAGGACCAAAAAGGAATCTCCTGAAAGAAAAAATGATCTTGTTCTGCAGAACAAGTAATTAAAAATGAAGAAACAGTGAATTCATGAACTCTTCCCCAACAGGTAATCCAAACCATGTCTAAACCGTTATGACACTTAACTAAGACTCTTTCTTGCAATTTTCATTTAAATTCTGCATTACATGCATGAATATCATATTCCTACTTTATTAAGTACCACTCCTCTGTTGTTGTTGTTGTTGTTTGGTTGCTTTGTGGTAGGTTTTGTTTTAAATATAGGTAACTTATAAGAAGTTTGGAATTTTCACTTAATTCCCTTTATTTTAGGGAAACTGCTATATTAGCCAATGTTTTCTCAAACATGTTCTTATTTTATACACACATATACTGTGGTAGCTTCTGTAAGTGTTTATTATATTCACATTTCTAAACAATAAATTCTAAACACAATGTCTATATGACTACAGATGCACTAAAAGTTTTGGTTACCTCTCCATTATCATCTGTGCTACGTGAAACATCCATGATTCGATCAACTTCCACATAATCTGGATTAAAAAGCTCATCATCAATCTGTTCAAGGAGAGAGGTAAAAATATAAAAGATATCTCTATTAGCCCTTCCTGAGAGGAAAAATGATTATATATTTCACCACACAATAATATTTTGGGTCACGGTGACAGAGAATTTATATTTGGCAAACTTCAACATGTTAATTGAAATGCTACAATTCAGCAAGATCATTCCCCGTGAGGGAATCAGACTTCTCAGACTTTGTTAACTGGGCCTCTTAATTACTGTGTGAAACCTTTTACTGTGAGAGAATGTTTAAGAATATTTTAAATGAAGTGTGAAATTACAATTCACTAATGAGCAATCGAAAAGGCTTATGGCATGCAATGCATTTAGCATTCTTGAAAACTACAGCTTGCAATAAAGAAATTAGAGCCTTGTACACTAAGTGCCTTTGGATTATTTTAACTACAGGAATTGTCTAACAGCTTTATAAGCAAAATTCGAAGATTATTATTTCAAAAACAGAGAAAAGACAATGCATGCATACACAGTTTCTCCAAAAAAATCACAATTTGTTACGTTCTCTCTTATTCCTTCAACAACTTACAGGATACTCTTGCATACTAAAGCACTGTGTTTAATTTTGTATTTTTAATATATCCTCCAACAGAAGAGACAGACAAAAGGACTAAAGAATATGTACATTTTAAAAGTTTTTTCTAAAGTAAGAACAAATTCCAAGTATTTACAATAACTTGTGATCCACTTGGAAAAAGATGAAAAAAAGAATATAGAAGCAATTCCAGGTGCCTTCACTGAGAACAGATGAAAGTTTTCAATTTGCAACAGGTTTTGCTTGGCTTGAATGATATAGTAAAATAAATATAAATAAATAAATACAGTAGCTGATGAACCTCTTTTTTTTTTTTCTTAAAAGACAGCATTTTACTGAAAGGTAAGCTTTCAGAGACACAAATCAGCAGATCTGGTCTTTTATTGACAGGACCCCTGCCACATTACTGCTTATGGCTCTAAGTGAAATTAAATTGATGATAAAAAGCTTAGAATCCCTAGTGAGCAGCAGTCCATAACACAGAAAAATGGGATGCATTTTTTCCGGCATAATCAGCTCCCGAGAAAAGGGACATGGAACTCATTCAGTCATGCTTACAAAGCAAACAACTGGCCACTCACTTTAAAAATAACCCAAAAAACCCACTAGAGGAAAAAGTATCGAGTCAGGATAGATCACTTGAGTTTCATAGACTTGCAAGACTTGCATCCAGAATGGTTCTGCTTTATACCAGAAAAAAATGCTACTGATATATCACAGTTATTCAAAATGTTCTGCTCGTATACAGAACAAGAACTCATAAGAACACTCCTTAAAACACCCAAAAGAAATAAACAAATCGTACTTCCGAAAGGAATTTGTTCTGGCCCTGTTTTGCCTTAAACCGCTTAATCTTCTGCTGAATTCTCTTGTCTTTGTCCAGCTCTTCCACAGATGCCCACTGACAGTGAAGGTAAGAACTAGAAGATGAAATAGAAAAATCTTACTCAAAACACTGCTTCCGTTGCAATCCTTATGTATCCCACTAGTATAACTAGATCTTTCCAGCACATTGTAGTGCTATGCTTGGAAAACTGGACACTATCTTCTTCATCATACAGGTTATGAACAAATCATCATTCCTGAAAGTAATTATACTTACTAACAGAGAAACTTGCCAGGAAATAGAAACAACTCCCACTCAAAATTTAAATATATACCGTCTACATTTAGTGTTTGGCACAAAGCTAGGATGATTTTTATTGGGTATACTTAAAATATAAATACTATACAAGACATTTATCATAAATGTCACTATTTAGCAATATATTCTAGCAAAGAGTAGGGTTTTTAGAAGTTAACGAATATATGCAAACATTTTAAGTACTAACATCCTATATAAATTTTTTTTGTGAGAACAGCATTGTAATTAGAAGTTGCTTATGAGTCAACTGTCGTTTTAACACTGACAAAAAGAATTGTAAATGCAGCTCCATCGTAATAATTCCTCTTTAAGAAAACACAGTAAGGAAAAGCATCTCTGCCAAACTGACCTGTCCCACTCTATAAATTTAGAGTCTGTCAAAAGTTCTATTGCTAAGACATGAATAGTTATGACAAAAATTACATGTCTATGTAATAGAACTACACAACTACAATTAAGCAATTAAACATCATGCAATAAACAATATAGTGCAAAAGGTACAAAATGACAGCATATTTAAAGTGAAGTCAACTATATGCAGTTAGCTGCAAGAAACTCATTTTCAGCAGACTTCTGTCTCTCAGATAGAAAATTTGGTAAAATTAAACAATATATGCTATTTTTCTACAAGAAAAGTGAGCTTATCCAGCTCTGAAGTATTTTATTTTAAATACTGATTGCATTGCAGTTTCAGAGCCCAGAAGTGAAACAACATGCTGTTCTCACCACTCTAACATCCCTCTTATGGAGGGACAATGATCTATTGCAATATGGAAAGCCATCTCCTTTATTATCTTAGACATTTTGTTGAACACAAATCTTGTTTTTGAAACAACATCAAGGGTTATTTTTGAGTAGTTTGCACACACATTACTCTACAGTTGCAGTTAGACCAACACAGCTACATATGTATGAGCTCATGAATCTGCATGCATAACGAGCCTTACAGCTTTTAATAGCAGAGCAACTTTACCTATGGATTTAATTTTGCAGAGAACACAAATTAAGACAACACTATCAAACCT